TGCCGAACTTTTACCCGCCGATGGGTCAGCCGGCGGGTCCCGGCGGGATGATGATCGGTACACCCGCCGTGGATCCGAACGGAGTTTATGTGCAGCAGCCGTCTCAGGCGTGGCAGAGCGTTTGGCAGACGTCGGCCACCGGCGATGAGGTGTCGTACGGCAGCGGAGAGAGCAGCGGCCAGGGAAATCTTGAGGGCCAAGGGTAAGTTTCCTTCTTGCTCTCTTTCGGAACAATGTACCTTGTTTGAGTGGTCCTCTAGGGTTTTAAGACGCGTAGGAAATCGATTTCTGAATTGGGTTTTTGATCCCTCAGTTTATGGTGTCCCAATTCTGTAATCTTGGATTAGAAATACAGATACCCATATCAATTTCTGAATTGGATTCGAAATACAGATTCGAACTCGATCATCTTTCTGCAGAAGTCTTTATATCACTAGGAATGATGATGTTTCCTCTGTATAGTTGTTGTCATAGAACACTTTGCCCTTCATCCTCATTGGCTCCAAAACTCAAACTTTGGGGACAGTAATCATTACCAATGCCATCTTTCTCTCTGTTTCTCTTTTCTTTGCCATGTCTCCTTCCAAAATGTTTTGGTATCATTTCTGCAGCTGATACGAGCATGAGGAGTTCAGGTGACATGGTCTCGCTAGTTGCTACTGCTGAAGACAGTGGGAGTTCAGTCTTGCATTTTTCATGCTTTTGATTCATGTCCGCGTTTAGTTGAAAAAGAAAGAGAGAGAGAAAAAAAAAACTCGTCTTCTGCTCTGTTTACTTTTAAGTTAATGCAGCAGCTAAAACCAGAAAACTTGCTGTGAGTCTCCTAACTTTATATCTAATGACTAATGTGCAGTTTCTGATTTACCCTTCCTTGTTTCACTTCTTGGTAATTGGTATGTAGTCGTTTTCCGCTGTTCTTTTTGTGGCCCGAGATGAAGAGGTTTTATGTAACAAATAAAGCATCTTCTCTCGAGCCAAGATGACCGCATAACCAGCTAAGCTCGGTTCGTACCGATGGGGTTACCCAGTCATGAACCTGTGAACCATTAACATATCCTGTTTTCGACAGATATGATCTTTAACTATTTGTTGACAGAATTGAGGAGATGCATGTCTGTATATTGAAAAGAGTTGTTGCAAACTCCCTCATCACTCACCACACTTCCTGCTCTGAAGGTAGGGTTTGAGAGAAAAAAATATATATATACGAATTTCGGGTATTCTCATAGCTAGGGGGACAAGTTTAGGCTCCGAGATACGACATATCCAATTTATGAGTTCGGTTGGTCCTTGGATCATCGACAGATAATCACGGGTATCTAGGCATGTCAAACGGGTTGGCCTAGCTCGGACCAGCTCGACTTGCCATCAGTTCGCCATGTTCTTGACTCAGATCAGCGTGGTCCGTTAATAAACGGACTGAAAATATACCGTCCGGACTCCGGACCTAACTTGCGGATTGAACAAAAACATAAACTAAAATCATAAAAATATTAAAATAATATTTCGGCCCGATAAAAAGTTATAATGCAAATCATTAGGAACCGTTAGTATATCTAACCACTACAAATAAAATGCAAAACAAATGTTTCCATTTACTTACGAAGTGTTGCCAATCAACTTTTGAATAAGAAATTAGGTTTTCTGATAATTTGTGTATAGGAAAAAGAAATGATTGAGCCTCCAGGGTGGTCTTTGCCCGTCCAAGTTTGGTTGGCTCGTGGTGGAATGACTCGTTTATCAGCGAAAGTTCCACGATGGATTCTCGACTTTAATCAATGTTATTTAGATTGAGGGTATACAAATCTCGCAGAAGACTGTCCAAAAAATCTATAGAAACAATATTGAGATCGAATATCCAAAAAACCGAATATTAAATGTTGTGTTATCTTTAATCCTTCTTCCATATCGGTGCACCTTCAGCTTCTGCTTCATTTTATACGGAAATATTTGAATATTTTGTATAAAAGTAGAATCCTAATACTCGGATAAATCATGTAGGATCCAAGTTTATCAATTAATAATTAGATTCTACAAAAATTTGGAACGCCGAATGGTTAAGCGAAGGGTAATAAACTCTAGGAATCTTCTTAAACAGCCAGAATGATGTATCATCCTCGTAAACCCTGAAATTCCAGCACCTAAAAAACTATGATCTCGGGTAGGGATGTCAAAAAAGCCCGAGGCCCGATACACGGCCTGAACCCGCCCGTAAAATTTACGGGCTCGGACTTCACAAATCAAGGCCCGTTCGTTCTTCGGGCCGAGTCGGTCCGGTCCGAAAAATTGCGGGCCAAAAGCGGATTTGGGCCAGGTCGGCCCGACCCGACCCGTAGACCCTATTAAAATATAAATATATGTGTATATAGGTAAATATATGTATATATATATATATTCGCATATATTTAATCATATATATATACATTTATTCAATCTTTTATATATATATATTTATATTGTATATACATGTATAAAAAATATACAAATATTATATAATATAGAAAGTTTTAAAAAAACTAAAAACTTGTTTAATACTAAATAATTTAGGATATAATATTTTCATAAATGATATAATCAAAATTATAATACTATTAGTTTCAAATAATTATTCCAAATAAAAAATATAATAATTTATCATTTTTAAAAATTTATTACCATATAAAATTAAAAAAAGTTAAATTTAAATTTATATTAGATCAAAATATATAATTTTGTAATCTATTTTTTATGTTTTTATTATCATGAAATGTATTAAAATTTTTTGTATTTAATTATTTTAATTTATTTATATTTTTAAAAAAAATATTCAAGCCCGAAGCCCGGTCCGAATCCGAAAAAAGCCCATAGGATCGGGTTCCGGGCCGAAGATTTTAGGTCCATTGGTTTTTCAGGTCGGACCGACCCGACCCGTAAATATTCGGACTTGTGTCGGGCTCGGGTCAGGCCAAAAGACCACCGTCAGCATCATCATTCTGGCTGATGCGGTAGTGGCTGGATCAAACCGATACCAAAAACCAAACCGGACTTAATCCCAAGCCGAACCAATCATCCGGTTTTCACGTGGCCGAGTCAACGGACCAACCAAGTATAAAATGAAGAGACTGTCAACTCTTAAACGAAATCAATTTTTCTAACCCTAACGAGGAACCATTTGAAAACCCTAATTTCGATTCCGTTAGATCTTCAAAGCCATGGAAGCCATCGATTCAGCCATCGATCCTCTCAGAGATTTCGCTAAGAGCAGCGTCCGCCTTGTCCAGCGCTGTCACAAGCCCGATCGCAAAGGTACGCAAATCCTTCCGCTTTGATTTCTCTTGCAATTTGAGGATTTTGTTATCCTACCCTAAAAAGTTAAAAACAATTAGGGTTTTCTCTTCTTTCGGAATGTTAGGTTCTGTATTTTGGATTGCTCTGGTTTGATTCGGATAATCTTAATCTCTGCATTCACTTTGTGCAGAATTCAGCAAGGTCGCGGTGCGTACGGCTATTGGGTTCGTCGTGATGGGTTTTGTCGGATTCTTCGTGAAGCTCGTTTTCATTCCTATCAACAACATAATCGTTGGAGCTGCTTAGGTGACTTGTTTCTGCAATTCCGAAATTTTCTATACCTGTTATAGTTTCCCACATTATGGGATCTTCGGTGCTTTGTTATTGTTCGTTGACTTGAATGAAACATCAAAGTGCTTTATGCTTTTACTATTTTTCATGCATCAAAGTGCTTTAGGCTTTTATCATTATACATGCATCAATGTGCTTCCAGTTTTTACCATTGTACATTCATTGAATTACATAGCAGTTTACTTTTCTGAAATTCGCAACATTTTTGTGGCTACAGCGTGCTGTGATCCGTTAATCTCTTTCCAAATTGTCAATCATGCATTAGATTTTGATGAAGGGTAGGTTCTAATGTTGAAAAGGCAATTTTTGGATGCCTTCCATGATATCCGCTGTCGAACTCCAGGATTTATGATTAATGGTGGGTTGTTGTTATGGTAAATTATCAGATGCATTTAAGTCAGTTCAAGTTGGCTTGTGCAACTGGTTCTTTGCAGCATTGCATAGACATGTTTCTCGGGGTTAGCTGTATTTGTGATATTAGAATTACAAGGTTTAAATGTTGTAACTTGCTATTCTTGATTTTTGTTATTCATTGTCTACCCTATCTATTTTTGGTGATTGAGCTTGTTTTGAATGATCCTTTGTGCACTTATTATCACGTTCTTATCGCTGGGAGCTTTCTCACTGTTTCTGAGAAAGCTCATATTCTTTGGAATTCTGTTACTTGTTTAAGGAATATGAGCAAGTGTCAAGGAAGGGGACTTGCCTGAGTTCTATCAACTGTGTCACACTATAACTAAACATGCATGATGCATCCTACACTTGAGCTTTGAATCTATGAAGTTATTACACATCCTTTCTTGTCATAAGATCCCTTCAAGGAAAACAGCAATCAAGATTCTTCAAACATTTTGGAACTAAAACATGTTAAGTTTTTTGTGTGGTCTTGGCAGGCAGGCTATGATGATCCAAGAAAAAGAGGGGAGCATTTGAAGGTAGGGAGTCCAAACATTACAGAATTCCGAGCTTAATGGACTTCATTAGGCCTTTGTCTCTTCCCTGATTGAAAGAGTTTTCATTATATATTATTCTTTTTTCTTAGTGGAAGCCATTCTTCAATTCGTACAAACTTGATTTCACATCTCACGGTTACTCTTGTCTAAGTCTTAATAAGTTCTCTTGTGTTTGTTTTGACTTTTAAACCTATAATCATCATGAGAGTTCACTTCACTATCCCATTGAAAATAGATTGTAAGAAAATGATTTAAATAATTATTTCAATTAGCCCATTGACGTTTTAATTTGCTTATTTTTTGCTCAACTTAATTCTCTTTACAAAAATTTTATTGTCAATTTTATTTTAGTTTCCTATGGACTCCAGATATTGTTTCAAAATCTCTAAACTATTATACTTATACCCAAAAAATCTTATTACAAAAACATTTATATTATTTACTATATTATATTTATCAAAATCTTATATTGTAAATTCATTATGAAAAATTATTAATTTATTTTTTATTATATAAGAAATTATTATTATTTTGATAGAAAAAGTAAAATGTTAAACAGTAAATATTTGTATATTTATATAGCCATCGATCAAAATAAAAAATCGTGCAATTAAAAATGTTTCTATTATACATGTTAAATTTAGTTCAAATAAATTAATAGAATATAGTTGATTTTGTTATTTATTTTACTAGAAATTTATTTATTTTTATTTTAAATATAAGATCAAATACAAAATAAAAAATAAGTATATATTTTCATTGCTAAAAATGTTACAAACAATTTAACTTATAAAATTTAAAAATAAAATAAAATATGACAAATTATTTATACATGATTTAAAGTATTTAAATATTTTTTAAAATAAAAAAATTTGAAATAAAATTGTTATCAAATTTATCTTGCAATCAAGTAATAATTTTTATATTTTATTTTGTTCGAAAAACAAGGATTTATTAATTTTTATTTTTATGATTAATTTATAATAGAATATTTATTTTTAAATTTAATTGTTTAAGAGATTCGTGTAAATATAATACTCGCGTATGTTTTATGTTGAAGCTTTTCCGGATGTAGTTTAATATTTTTAACATAATAAACTGGTAAAATAACATTTTCATACACGGATTTTGTAAAATATAACTTTTTTATATACGAATTTTTTATATACGAATTTTTAATTTAACAAAAATCTATACCAAATTATCAAATATTCCAAATCGATACATGAACTACCCAATCTTATTATAATTTTCTACACAATCTGAAACGTTGTTAAGTCTCCATTAACAGTTGACGTGGAATGCCACGTGACGGCTGATGTGGCATGTCACGTAAAAAAAATTTGTCACGTCAATATGCCACGTCAGATTTAAAAAAAAAATCGAAAAAAATAAAAATAAATACATATATATATATATATATTCATATATACATACAAATACAAATATAAATACATATACATATATATATATACAAAATAAATAAATATATATATATATTCATATCCACATACAAATACAAATATAAACATAAATACTTTTATGTATAAATATATCTATATATACATACAAAATAAAAAAATATACACATATATATACATACATCTCTACAAATATATATGCATATACATACATACAAATATATTTATATATATATACATACAAATATATAAATATATATATATATATACATACATACAAAATAAAAACATATATATATATATATATTCATATCTATATACAAATACAAATATAAACATATATAATACTATATATATATATTCTTATGTATAAATATATCTATATATATATATATAAGTATATATGTTTATATTTGTATTTGTATATAGATATGAATATATATACATATGTATTTTTTTGTTTTTGTTTTTTTCGATTTTTTAATATGACGTGGCATGTTGACGTGGTAAAAAAATTTCAAGTGGCGTGCTACGTCAGTCGCCATGTAGCCTTCTACGTCAATTGTTAACGGATATTTAACACCATTTCGTGTAATAAAATTAGATAGTTCGTGTATCGATTTGGGAAATTTAATAATTTTGTGTAAATTTTTATCAAATTAAAAGTTCGTCTAGAAAAAAGTCACAATTTACAAAATCATTTAACAAAGTAGGATGTAATAAAATGTCATTTTCTCTAATTATTAACATAACCTTGTCAAGAAGGACATTTAAGTAATTATACCAATATCCAAGGAGTCGCATATAAATCATTTAGGATCACTCATCACCCTTTCCTCCGCTCTCCCATCTTTCCCCTCGCCCTCTCCTTTTTCTTCTAAGCGCTACGATGGCGGCTGCCCCCGCCTCTTCCTCCATGATATCCTTATCTTCCCCCAAACCCTCACATTCCTCCTCCAAATCTCCCTTACCCATTTCTCGACTCGCCCCTCCCTTTCCTCTGAATCACCATAAACGCACCACCTGCCGCGGCCGCCGCCATCCCCGCTCCATCTCCTGCTCCGCCGCCAACGTCTCCGCCGTTGCACCACCTTCTCCGGAGAAACCTGCGGTTACCCATGATTTCGTCTCCCGATTCGGCCCCGATGAGCCCCGTAAAGGAGCCGACATCCTCGTCGAAGCCCTCGAGCGGCAAGGCGTCGACACCGTCTTCGCCTACCCAGGTGGTGCGTCAATGGAGATCCACCAGGCGCTCACGCGATCCGCCACCATCCGCAACGTCCTCCCGCGTCACGAGCAGGGTGGCGTCTTCGCCGCCGAGGGCTACGCTCGCTCCTCCGGGAGACCCGGCGTCTGCATTGCCACCTCCGGCCCCGGAGCCACCAACCTCGTCAGCGGTCTCGCCGATGCTTTGCTTGACAGTGTCCCTCTCGTCGCCATCACAGGTCAAGTCCCTCGCCGCATGATAGGTACAGACGCGTTCCAGGAGACGCCGATCGTAGAGGTAACGCGTTCGATCACGAAGCATAACTATCTCGTGATGGACGTAGATGATATCCCTAGGGTTATTGAAGAAGCCTTCTTTTTAGCTACCAGTGGTCGACCCGGACCAGTTTTGGTTGATGTTCCGAAAGATATTCAGCAACAGCTTGGGATTCCCAATTGGGAACAGCCCATGAGATTGCCCGGTTACTTGTCTAGAATGCCTAAACCACCGGAAGAAGCTCATTTGGAGCAAATCGTTAGGTTGATTTCTGAATCTAAGAAACCGGTGTTGTACGTTGGGGGTGGCTGTTTAAACTCGAGCCATGAATTGAATAGATTTGTCGAACTTACTGGAATCCCGGTTGCAAGTACATTGATGGGACTCGGATCTTACCCGTGTAATGGCGATCTGTCCCTGCAAATGCTTGGAATGCACGGAACCGTGTATGCAAACTATGCTGTGGATAAAAGTGATCTGTTGCTTGCCTTCGGGGTTAGGTTTGATGATCGTGTCACAGGTAAACTCGAGGCATTTGCTAGTCGGGCTAAGATAGTTCACATAGATATTGATTCGGCTGAGATTGGGAAGAACAAGACTCCTCATGTCTCGGTATGTGGGGATGTGCAATTGGCACTGGAAGGGATGAACAAGATTCTCGAGAACCGACCAGATGAGCTTGATTTTGCCCTCTGGAGGAACGAGCTGAACGAACAAAAGGAGAAGTTCCCATTGAGCTTCAAGACATTCGGAGAGGCCATTCCTCCTCAGTACGCGATTCAAATCCTCGATGAGCTAACCAATGGAAATGCCATTATAAGCACTGGAGTCGGCCAACACCAGATGTGGGCAGCACAGTTCTACAAGTACAGGAAACCCCGGCAATGGCTGACATCAGGAGGCCTCGGGGCCATGGGTTTTGGACTTCCGGCTGCTATCGGAGCTGCAGTTGCAAACCCGGAAGCTATTGTCGTGGATATCGATGGAGACGGGAGCTTCATAATGAATGTTCAGGAGCTGGCCACGATCCGGGTAGAGAACCTTCCAGTAAAGGTACTTTTACTGAACAACCAGCATCTGGGTATGGTTGTTCAGTGGGAAGATAGGTTTTACAAGGCCAACCGAGCGCACACATATCTTGGGAACCCGGCAAAGGAGACAGAGATATTCCCGGACATGTTGAAGTTTGCAGAAGCGTGTGAGATTCCGGCGGCCAGGGTTTACAGGAAAGAAGAACTCCGAGGCGCTATCCAGACGATGTTGGATACACCCGGGCCGTATTTGTTAGACGTGATAGTTCCGCATCAAGAACACGTGCTACCGATGATCCCGAGCGGCGGCGCTTTCAAAGATGTCATAACAGAGGGAGATGGTCGGACAAAGTACTGAAGGTAAACTTGTTGGCAGTTTTTTCAGGTTTTGGTAGTTTGGTTTCTTGCTGTGTTGAACTGTGTTTGTTTCATCAGACTGCTTCTGTTTGTTTCCTTATTTGCAAACCGGTTCGGTTTAGCAGTAAAATTAAGTTATGGGTTGATTCGGTTTGGTAGTAACGCCACTAGATCTCGTTTGTATTGTATAAACTTTGGTTTGGTTTGGTTTGGTTGACATGTATTTGGTCAGGCCGTCGTTTCACAGGACACAGCCGAGTATTCGGATTATGGGCCTCGGATGTCCAATTAATTCATGGGCCCACCACATGTTTTCCGGCCCATTATATATAGAGAGATAAATATAATCTATAGATAAAAACGAATTCGATTTAAAATTAAATCGGAAATTGAATCTCTATCCTATTCGGATAAAATATAAAAATAAAAACGAATTGTTTTTAATATATTTTTTCAATAAAAATGAATTCCAATAGAATTTGAATCGAGTTCAACAGAATCAAATTTAATTTAAGTGAATGATTATAATTCTTGTTTAAAAATAAATAATGAAGCGGAAAAGTAATAGCCTATCTTATTCCAACAAATTCAGGTTTTCAAAGGTATTTTGGGCTTAAAAGATGAATTTCAATAACACCGTTAACTTTACGGCAAAGAACATAGGGGAAATTAGAAGAATAATACGATGAATTTTAATGACACTATTAACTTTACGTACAAAGAAAATTAGAAGAATATTACCTAAACTTGTCAAATTTTTCAAAATAAAAACATGAATTGATTTTTTTTATCAAATAAATCCCGAAATCTAATGTTTGTTAAATAAATGAATCCGAATTTTTAAAACCATGTCATATTTAATCCTTAACGCTGAAGAGGGGTTCCAAACGATGACATATCAATTTTGATTTTGATTAAACATTGTCAATGTCATATTTTTTTTAAAAAATGAAAATTTTCAAAAAAAAAATAATAAAAAACAAAATAAATATAAATATTTGCATACGTATATGTATGTATATGTATATATATGTGTGTGGGTATACGTATATGTGTGTATATATATATTGCATGTAAATATTTGTATTTATATTTATTTTGTTTTTTATTGATTTTTTTAAAAATTTTAAATTTTTAAAAAAATACATCATGTATTTTGATCATGTCAGATGATGTGGTAACGTGGTAACGTTTTAGTTGAAGTCAAAATTAAAAACGTCGTTAAAGTCAAAATTGACACATTCGTTTGGAATGTCACATGAACGTTGAAGATTAAATATGATATGATTTTGAAAATTTGGTTTTATTTATATACCAATATTAGAGTGCAGAATTTATTTAACAAAAAAAAATAGTTCATTTTTTATTTTATCAAATTTGACATATTCATATATTATTCTTCTCATTTTTTCTAGCTAGAATATATGAGCTTTATTTGGTTTAGATTTAATTTCATATTAAGCCCCATCGGTTTTTTTAATCAAACATGGTATCATGCGTTCACATAATTTTAAAGTACAATTTTAACTACTTTTTAACATTAAAGTAACTCTAAAAAGTTTTGAAAAAATATAAAATATCTTAAAAGTCATTTTTCGACAACATCCTTTTTTCAAAATAAAATCACTTAATTTAATCATTTTTTTTCTTCCCCAACACGTTGTCTGTTAGCGGAAAGTGGATATTCTTTTCTCCCTTTTTTTCTGTTTTCATATATTATTCTTCTCATTTTTTCTAGCTAGAATATATGAGCTTTATTTGGTTTAGATTTAATTTCATATTAAGCCCCATCGGTTTTTTTAATCAAACATGGTATCATGCGTTCACATAATTTTAAAGTACAATTTTAACTACTTTTTAACATTAAAGTAACTCTAAAAAGTTTTGAAAAAATATAAAATATCTTAAAAGTCATTTTTCGACAACATCCTTTTTTCAAAATAAAATCACTTAATTTAATCATTTTTTTTCTTCCCCAACACGTTGTCTGTTAGCGGAAAGTGGATATTCTTTTCTCCCTTTTTTTCTGTTCCTTTATTATTATTATTATTATTATTATTATTATTATTATTATTATTATTATTATTATTATTAGTAGTAGTAGTAGTATTAGTATTATTATTCAACAATATAGAATTGGAAACGAACGAATGACATATATATATAGGCTAAGTATATGCGCATGTATGTACACAAAAACGTGGTGATTAAATTAATTATAAAATCAGAAAAGAATTTCTTAACTATATAAGAAATATTTAACAAAATAATCACACCCTAGAAAATAGGGTTTACACTGATTATATATATATATCTATAATAATCATAAGCTAACGTGTGTAAGGTGACATCTTAGATTCATTGAGAACACCATATCATATATAATGATACATATAATTATAATAAGAATCCATAAAAATTTAAAATTGGATAATTCAAATGGTAAAGAAGGGAACAGTTCTCTTTCTCAACATAGGTTCAAAACTCTATTTGGGGAAAAACTCATTTTTCCGATTCTCTTAAACATGTATATAATTAGGTTGAAAACTTAATAAACTTCCACATTATAAAAAAAAAGTTCACAACGCATATTTTTTATAATTAATGGAAGGTTGATGGACGTTATGATTGTAGCTTATAACAAAGGTGGGGAAATATCCAATGAAAAGGAGACAAGCAAAAGATCCAACCTACATGGGATGCAGAAAACATATGGTGAAAAGGCTGGACAAAGGAATGCCCTTTGGAAAATGATGGCTCTCTCATTCATCTTTTTTCTCTCACTAACAACCCACAAAATATATATATATATATATATGATGGAATATGTACACATGTAGGAATCTCCACTTACAATAACAAAACTGTGTGTGTGTACGTCTTTGAGTATATATAGAGAGACAAATATGAAGAGAGAAATGTTAAGGTTATGTCACTAAAAAACACACAAGCACTTGAATTTCAGGTGCTTATGTGTATGTATGTGTATATATATATATGTATTTTCAACTATTAAATTTTGAAATCAAACACCGAAAAAATATATAGAAAAAAAAATGAAGTTAAACCCATCGGGCGGTTAATCGAGAATTCAGTGACGTGAATATACTCTTGTCCTTAATCAGGACACAATCGTTGGTGGGTGCTTTAGCATGTTCAGATTACATGGAGGGTTTTACAGTGACGAAATTCGTGTCTTGATTTGTCGTGAAATATCATTCGTAAGTTACTGTTTTCTGTTGGAGATTGAGGGCAAAATGTAGTTCATATGTCTTGTTACTTCCGTGTTGGTGAAAACAATCTCACCCGTCAATTCTATTTGGACAACCCTATATCTTTAATTTTCCCAAGCAAATTATGCCATATGCTACCTACTCCATGAGTCTTTTCTTCATCACGGTCTGACTAATTAATACATGTTTCTAAGCTATACACACACACACACGTTATGTATAGATCACTTCATATATATATATATATATATTTGTATGTACTTGGGCATATAATATTTGTACATGTATATTTGTGCGTGTGGGTGTGTAACCCGCATGCATGAAGAGTTATGGATAAGCTTTAGAACAGTTAATCTGTAACATATCCTAACACTGAAATAATAAATATTCTGTCTCGAAAAGCACTCTCTAGGGTTTCAGTGCCTTGGTAATTTCCGAACCTTTTTTTTAGTTTTATTTTTATTTATAAGTTTTTGCCGTCAAATTTAGTACATCTTTGGGTTATAAAATCTTATTTTTGAAACGAAAAAGAAAACCCTAATATGAGTTGTTCTCAGCGTCCAGAAGGAGACAATACTTTCAAAAAAATTTTCCTAAATCATGGGGAAAATGCATATGATCCATTTATGATCACAACGAGCATATATATACATAATTTTCATCAATTAGGAAAAAAATCACTTGGAACATAGGAAATGATATTGGATTTCAAGAAGAATTAATTATATTAATTGGGTATCATTAATTTTTATGAACTTTTTTATTTTAGGGATACAACAAGGACACAATTAAAATTGTATTTATTCAGCATGTCAATTTGTGCTTATATATAACGAGTTTTAAGGCCATGATCTTATATATGTTTCTTTATTTGATGCACTTGACATATTATTATGGAGCTAAAAGGTTTGGTCGAATTATCGCGTGCGTGTGTGTATATATATAATGTTAATGTATGCATACACACAAAGAGTTGTCGGCTTTGGTTCGTAAAAGACCACCGTCAGCATCATCATTGAGAACTTTAACCGATGTGTAAGAAAAGTCAAATTCTGATTTACAATTCTGTAAGAAAGAAATCTTATTTTTTTAAATAGAAAATTAATAACGTCAACTCTAATTTACCCTACTTCCGTCAGCCTATATATATATATATATATATATAAAATTTGGAAGCAATTTGGAAGCATATATATATATATATATATGATCATCCGGAATGTCGTAATTCCCTTTTCAGTGGCTCTTCATTTTTCTAGACGTATAATGTATGTCTCCTTTCTTTAATTATACATCCCATAAACTGAAAACACAAAAGTCTTTTGGGGGTTATATATACATATATATATATATATATATGTATATATTTCCTTTTAGGAGCTTATTTGGGCAAAAAAAAAAAAACAATCATGATTGTATTTTTCCTTAGATTTCAAGGAAACAAAAGGAACCTAATAATATACCAAAACCAGAACGAAACTCACTCGAAACCCGAAATCAACAAATTAACACCCAAAAGAAGAAGGGGAAAAAAACAAATGACCTGTGATTTTGGGTGTAGGGATTACGATCAAAGATGACTAAATCAGGGCATAATGAAACCTCTGGCTGCAGGAGAGACAAGTGATCTCCATGCACGCAGGGTCTATCTTCATCATCGCCTTCTCCTTCAACCTCTCTGCCTTCTCTACCTCCTTCCTCGTCCGCTCCCATATCTGCCTGTCAAACCCTAAATCCCTTCACTTCTATTATGTGACTGTTCTAATTTTGATCATTTCATATCTTGAATTCATATATATATACAATAACCAGATTAGGGTTCGGCCTTCGGTGATCGGTTCATCTGAAAGATCTGGTTAAGCAAACCGGAATGGGTCAAGCCGTACCTGGCACGGGTGAACTCGGACTGAGCCAATTCCATCTCCCTCCGAGTCAGCTCTCTGATCCTCTCGGCGTAAGCCTTCTCCATCGCCGCATGCCTTATTTGCTCCGCCGCTTGCCAGTGCACCGCCTCCACTCCGTACGGATGATCCGCCGTGAAGGGGCCGAGGCTTATGGACAGTTTAAGGTCGAGATCGTGGTGTCTCACGGCGGAGGAGCCTGTGATCTGCACCGACGTCGGTTTCATCTTCCCCCCCGCCGGATCCGATGGCGGAGGAGATGGCAGCAGCTGAAGCTCCTTTTGATCGTCTTCCGCCATTAACAGTGTCCACTCTCTCTATCTCTCTCTAAGATCGAGTGGAAGATTTTTTTTTCCAAGGGTGGGGAAAGGCTGCTAATATGAACAAGTGGGTGGCAAAACCAGTGGCTTTACATGTATCTGTCGTGTCGTGTCTGTAAATAAATATATATGTGTATATATTGGTATATGTGTATATATGTATATATATATATATAACGTATTTACCCCTCATATTTTTTTGGTGGGTCATTTTATTTGAATTTTTTTTTTTTTATAATGTTGTTACACAGTTGGGGTGTCCAAAGGACAATTTCTGAGGTTTCTAGATTAGTAAATTGAATACGTTAATTATTATAACTTGGTTTTGAGTTATTTAAAAAATCACCAAGGACTGAAATTGCCATCACTTCCACTTCCAGTCCATCAACTAAAATAAATAATCGAAACATTTTAAAATAGGGAATTAAATATTTCTAAACTCCTGGTATAACTAACCCGTGTCCTAGGCGTCACAATCTTTTTGTATCATTTTATTTTTTTAAATATTGTCATTATTTTACATATTTTTCTTTCCTTTTTTTTTATAATTACTCATTATTATGTTTCGTTAATCTTTTTAACGATACAAAGACGAGGATGTAGTTGAATAATATTTTGGAGATGCCCGTTGACTACGTTTTACTTCGGATTTGACTATTTGCAATAATCAAATGTTTGTATTTTTTATTTCTAATTGTTGGTTATGTAGGGATTACATGTCCATTAAAATTAAATTTGAAAATGAAAAGGATATAATTTTTTTTACGAACTTTCTTTAAAGATGGTTCCGTGGAAGAAAGAGAGAGAAAATCTGGTCGGGTGGCAAACACAAACAGGCCTCTTGCGAAAGAACAAAACTTCGCTGTGGTCTTCCGTGTCACAAGGCCCATATCTCTCGTCCATTCGCTACATAATCGGAGTCTCTCTCTCTCTCTCTCTCTCTCAATCTGCTTGGGCTAGGGTTGATCAGTGGTTTTGGCCATGGAGGCTTCGTCTTCTCGGCAGTCCGATTCGTCGAATCTAACTGCTTCCGCGGCTTCTAAGTACCTCTCCGACCTCCCGTCTCGCGGTCTCTTCTCCTCCACCGTCGTCTCCTCCAATCCGGTAACTTCGCTGAAACCCCTAGACATTGCTTGCTGCCTTTCTCGATTCGGGATTCACTAGTATGTAATTTGGGTTCTGCTGATTAAGTTTTGGGGTCCCAGAAAGTAATTGACTTTGCCCTTTTCTTCAATCTGGGTCCAAACTTGAGAGACGTATCAGTTATGGAGACACCCGAGCCCTTTCGGCGTAGTTTGGATGGAAGATATGTACGAGTTCGATTTTTTTTTTGTTGCTTTGAATATCTGAGATGTCTGTCAAAATTGTGTGATGATAATTTGACAAAGTTAGTCTGCAGTGACATTGTATTTGTTCAAACCAGTTAGGAGGATTCTGGACATTTATAGAGACGCCCTGATTCATGGCAGTTGGTCACTTGGTCTTGTCTTGTTATTTAGTTAGTTCTCTTCAGTGTTGTAGGAATCATTGTGTGTTGTGAAGCGGAAAGGATCCTACAGATGTAGTTCTAAGCTTCCTGTCGTAGGTTCATGATTCAGATTGTGAAACCCAAGTATCCTTGTTTCGATTTGGGTATATCTCCTGATCTTGTTTTCGAACATGTTCTTCGTTCCACATGTCTGTCATTAGCTAAACTTTGGTAGTAATGCAGAATGGAATCGGTGGCATGTTTAAGAATTGCCGCTACCGATAGTTTTCTTTGTCTCAATCTGTGTTCCGGGCAGCCAATTGCTCTTTTTATGCAGACCCATTGTGGCTTTTGCCGTTTTCGTGCTGTTAATTGATTAGTGATAATTTATTTTACACATCTGTCTATAACTGCAGGGAGGTATGCGGGTGTATATATGCGAACACGATACATCTGCCCCAGGTATTCTTTACTTTAATGATCTTCCTTTTTCTTAGCTAGATTTTTGTTGGCAGTCTCAGAATTTTTCCGGGCCACATGAATTCTTCGTTTCCGCTCATTCCGAATCTCCGATTTTGAATTCCAAGTCATTCTTAATGACTCGTTCCCACGTACAGATTACATAAGTAGAAATATGTATATATTGCTAGAAATAACCCGATCGCAGAATTGAATATTTGATTTATGGAGTTCCACCCTCTCCCCCTTATCGAACCATTTGTCCAAAACCCACCTAAGACCCTTGATCCTAAGAAACCCGTGTATATAACCCGTATAACTAAACCCCAAAGCACCCTTTACTGACACAACAGAAACATAATCAAGTTTATACTTTATAGTTCTCTTATATGAAAATGTCGACGCAAACTCTATTCGGAAGAAGCTGCTGTTACATTTCACGTTGTTGTTTGCTATTTCTTTTGATTGAATTATCAGGAATCGGCACTAACTTATTGTCATTCGTATAAACCAGAAGGACAGCAGATCAAAACAAACCAGCAAAATATACTCATTAGATCCCTCATGCTAAAGAAACAAAGTGGTGAATCTAGTTCGAAGGTTGCAAAAGGCGCTGCTGAAGATCGTCCTAGAAAGAGGTACCAAGCAGACTTGATTCATTCAATGGACCATCACATAACCTTTTCAGCTCATTTGCCAGTCTAAAGCTTTCATGTTTGTCAAAGTTGTATACTTCCATTTTAACTATCGGGCTCATGAATTGCTACCACGGTGTCCTCCTCTTTTGATTTTCCTCGCTATAGAGCTGCAAATAGGGCTATGGACGAACGAACTCCATCCAAAAGAGCTGCTAATGGAACTCGACAAGGTAAAGCTTGGATCATATCTGTTCTCTGATTGTATTTTCAGACATCCAAAGGCCAGTTTGAGCTAAACAATGTTTTCATGAACAGAGGGATCTAGCAGTCGCCCGGGTGAGAGGGATTACCATTCTTTGACTGTTGAGAGGCTCCGGGCCCTTCTCAAGGAAAAGGGTCTTCCAGCAAAAGGAAGAAAGGCAAGTCCTTTTGGTCCAAAAATCCAATCTTGTTCTTTCTATTTATAGTATCATACATATTTATAGTATCACACAGTTAGTTTCTCCGCGATTCTTGATCTTATAATGATCAATCAAATATTGTGCTGCCGACAGGATGAGCTCATCGCCCGACTGAAAAATGCCAACGGTTAATCCAGCAAGCAAACCGACCCCCGAAAACATAGGGGAGGAAATATAGATTATGGTTTGACGTAGTTTAAGAGATTTTGTCACTGGGAGAGAAGTATGATCTGGGAATTAGGGTTCTTATTCATTATGTGTCCTTCATTGTCTTTGGGATGTGTTGGTTCTTGAGCATGTGAATTTGATCTCCCTTGCATAGTTATGCAATACATGTCTGATTTCCCCCCAAGTACAGGAGTGGTCCGGGTGGGTATGGATCCGGGTTTGGTTTGGTCTGGTCTGGTCTGTCTGGTTTGGGTTTCTCGAAACTGTTAACCGGATTGGACCATCTCAATGTAACCAATACCAAACCAAAAAACTGGTAGTGGCAAATGTGATATAGTTTGGGTATTACCGAAATCCAAACCAAAACTTAACGTGCTTTATATTGTTACTGGTAAAATAAATATAAAATTTTAGCATAATTATTTTTTTCATATTTAACTTAAATAAAGTTAATTTTCTATTTATCATTACAAATGTCAAAAAGAATATTATTCATAAGTAAGCCTGTGTGAAAGATAATATCGGGAAGAAGAATAATTGTAGAAATTTGCTTAGCGCAGTTAGGGTTATCGGGAAATGTACTTGATGTCGGCTCCTACAACATTCGGTTTATTAACAACGATTCCAGTGTGAACGCTAATTTGTCTTTTTTCTTTTTCTTTTTAATTTAAATTTAAATTTAAATTTACTACATATAATGCAATATATATATATATATATTATCCACGGTCGACATAATTCAAATCAACTTCCCATGCCTTTTTTCTCGTCAACGTACCAAAACCTTTCGTCAGAAAATACGTAAATAAAATGTCCAATTTTTTTAATTTACACTTATAAAAGTGCTTTCTAACCAGTCTCTATAATTATTTGGTGGACCCTATAAAATTCCGGCGAGATACCATCATCCATGATTTAACAAATCATTTCAAAGACAACACTTAATACAGTCACGTGGTACAATATCCTCATGAAACTGAGACAGTATATACATACACACACATATATATATATATATATATGTATGCATATATGTGTGTGTATGTAAAGAACTTATCGGGACTAGGGAAAGGAAACCAATATACTAGTCTTTAGAGAATTGACTTTTGTATTCTGAATAAGTGAAATACCTAAATATAAAATTAAAATTTTGGAGGCCATCATTTTATTATATGACAGAAGGGGTGAAGGCTTTGACCCGTAAGTGGTAATACATTCGAATTTGCCAAGCATAAAATAAAATTAATTAAAAGTTCCCAAAAAAATACGGAAATACAGCTAATTATTTGAAAAATAATTATTTAACGTTTTTAGTTGAAAAATAGAACACTTAGAAACGGATAAAACAATTATTTTTTTTACATATAAAAAAACAATTATTTATTCACGAGAAGGTACGTTTACAATAATTTATTTGGTAAATAAACATTTCACTATGATCAATCTACGATTCTACGGTGGATTCACATATAGTAAAGAAGTGGATCTCTTAATCATTTGGTCAAATCGATCATTATATTTTAGATGTGTTTGATTAAAATGACAATGCAACATTTATAATGGTAGATTCATCTTTTATATTCTACCATGTATAACATTTGGGCTGTTAAACGTTTTACAATATTTATTTAAAATTCCGGATTTTGTTATTTATTATTTATTTTTGGGAAAATGACATTTTCCTACACCAACTTTGCAAAATATAACCTTTTCCTACACGAATTTTTAATTTGACAAAAAAGTACACCAAATTATCAAATGTGCCAAATTGATACACGAACTACCCGATTTAACTACAATTTCCTACACAATCCGAAAACGGTGTTAAGTGTCCGTTAACAGCTGACGTGGCATGCCACGTGGCGGCTGACATGGCACGCCACATAGATTTTTTGCCACATCAGCATGTCACGTCATATTTTTTAAAAAAATTCCGAAAAATATGAAAAAAAAAATCGATTTTTTTTTAAAATTTAAAATAAATTAAATAAATAGCAATATATATATATATATTCATATATATTTATATCTATATACAAATAAAAATATAAATATATATACTCTTATATAAAAATATATAACTATATATATACAAAATAAAAAACATACACATATATATACAAACATCTATACAAATATATATA